TGCTTGGTTGTCTGTCTCTAAGTGTAGCCCTGTGATAGACTGGTGACCTGTCCAGGGTGTCCCCTGCCTTCACCCTAAATCAGCTGGGATAGACTCCAGCCCCCCGTGAGGATTAAGCGGTGTATAGATAATTGATGGATGCATAGTTCATAAAGCAGAAGTTTGGCATTGTCACGCCCTCCACCTCTGGCTCCGCCTAGTGGAGGTTCTGTTCCCCATGTCTTCTCTCCTCTCCCTCCTGTCCTTTCTCTCCAGGTGGGCGTGTGCTGGCAGGTGTGTGAGGTGTGGACAGGTGCAGTGATTCAGCTGATCACCTGAGTGTCTTCTCCTGCGGTGGGGTGAGGTCATCAATCGTCTACTCACCTTTCCTCCCCATAAAAGCTGACCTCAGACCATGACATGATGCTGGACTGTAAACTACTACACAGTTAGTGAACCTTGGCTCTGCTCCGATCTGTCTTTTGCTTCATGCCTGTTATTTTGTGCTAACCCTGGTTCTGTTCATGTTCCAGCTGGACCCACCTACGATTACCTGGTTCTGTTCACCATCACCAACTCCACTGTGTCACTGGCTCCACACACAGTCTCCTCGTTCATCTCTTCCTGGTCACTGCATCTGTCCACCACATCAGCTCCCCTCACCTGCCACGTCGTCCACCTGTCACTAAGCTGCCAGTCTCCTGTTGAGTCCTCAGCAAACTGTAGTTCCCGAGTTCATGTAATCGTTAAATTTGTGTCTTTGATTATTCCTGGTTAATCTGAATTCCTGTTTATTCCGTCCTAGCTTGGTGGTACCAAGTTCAGGTTGTGTGTCTGCTAGCAAAAGGAAATGATTTGATCCTTGTTAATGCTGCCTATTTGAGCGCACTTAGTCTGCTGTGTCAGTATTGAGTGTGTTCTGTTACCTTTGACCTAGTTTCCACTTCCTGTATATTGTGTGTGTCTATACTGTAAATAAATCTTTTATTGAGAAACATTTTGTTCTGCCTTTGTCTGTACTTGAGTCTCTGCTTGAACTGTGACAGGCATTTTACTGATACTAACATGGAACCTTGATCCTGCTGGCTTCTGTCCACTTGCTATCTTTTTTTTTTTTTTTTTAAGAATTAAGATGTATATGTTTGCAGAATTAAATCTACAGGTGGGCCCTTCTAAACGTTACAAAGTTGTGGCTTAAATCAGTCACAGAATTACTGGTTTCCTTTAAATCACTTAAACTCATTTTAACAGACTTACTTTAATGCATTTTTTTTTTTTTTTTAAATTGTACCCTTGTTTCTACTTTTTCTTTTGCTGTGTCTGTGTTTGCTGTGTTTCTTGTGTCTGTATGTTTTCTGTCCTTTGTGCTGTGGCCTTTTTGGTGCTTTTAATGTATTTGTATATATACTGGGATTTTGTATCTTTCACTATGTTTAACTTTCTTTTTTGCTTCTCTGATCTTTTTTTTTTTGGTCTGTTTGGCCTGACTGGCTTTCTGTTAAGCCTTCAGTGTCCTCTTTGGCTTGTCTGTCGTAGCACTTTGTAAACTGATTTTAAAGATGCTATATAAGGAAGACATATTTTCCTCTAAAATATAGTTCAGTGATAGCATAAAGGAGAATAACATGGAAAGCGCCTCAGAATTGCACCTGAGTAAATATACTTTCCACAGCCTCTGATGATCCTCGTGCACTTTCCCCTATGCTGCCCAGAAAAATATCAGCCTGTCAAAGCAGCTCTTGAGCAGCTTTCTCAATCCTGATTGTCAACAGGATCATCTCAACTTGACCTTTTAACTTTGCTTTACAGGGAATTAATGAAAGACACCAAGCTGCTTGACCTTTAGAGACTTTAGCTTGCTGGAGTTGAGCAATTTGTATTTTGATTTATTTATTTTTTTGTGGTATTTTACAGCATTGAATGTCTCATGTTGCTTATAGTAAATGGTCGTATTTTTGCTGAGATCAGCTCACACATGGTCAGTGCACTTTAATATGCATGTTGAAGTTGTTTGAATAAATCTAATTAAAAACTGAAAATCTGCCAACAAGGGTGACAGAAAAATACATAAATGGTGGAGTACTCTAAAGTTGAATAGCTGAGCGGGAAATTTTAAGTGAATTTGAATTCTGTAAAACAGTGTCATTTTGCATTCACACATTGGAAAAAACAAACAAACAAACAAACAAACAAAAAACCTAAGATTTGTAAAAATAAATAAATAAATTAATTAATTAAATTAAATAAAAAATAAAATACAGATTTTTGATGCCGAAATTATGTAGTTTGACTTTAGAAATTTGACAAAGCAGGAAAAACTATAAATTGAAAAATGTATATATATATTTACAGTTTTGGCCTTTTTAAAAAATGTTCTTTTTAATTTTTTTCTAACAAGAAACATGTAAATTCATACAATTCTATGTCATTTAAGATGTTATTGATAATTTTACAAAACTGGGAAATGTGTTAAGAGCACAATTTATTTACTATTTCTTAATCTGTAATATTTTTTTTTCTTTAAAATAACACTAAATATTTGGCCTTTTTTTTCATTGTTGACATGTAAGTGATTTTACCTGATATCTATAATTCAACAGAACAGGTTCTTATATATTATCTTCTTTTTAAAAAAATGCAAATATCTGTAAAAATTTTTTATTTTTTTTGTCAATTCAAATAAGGTTTAAAGCGTGTAATTTTTCCAATCAAATGTTAATTAAAAAAAAAAAAAAAAAAGTTTCTATGTGTAATTTGCCAGGGGGGATCTGTAAAATAAATTCGTTTACAAAATTACAGGTAAAAACTATTGAAATTATTTGGGTTTTTTTTTGTTTTTTTCCCCCTTTTTTGCAGCGTATAGCTTTTTTTCTAATGCCCATCCTAAAGACAATTGCCTGACCTGACTGTCTGTCCTTTTTGCAGTTTGGTGTGTTTGTGTTTGTGCATCCACTGCTGCCCTTATTTAATAGAGAGGGAATCTTCCATGTAGTGCTCCAGCTTTGGCTGTGATTTCTGACTGGGGAAAAGGGGCTGAGAACATCAGGTAAACATACACACACTGCTACCCCACCGGCTGTGTCTAGAAGGGTGTGTTGGTTAGAGATAAGATTTTCTCAGATGTCCTGATTTCTCTTATTCCTAAGCCAAATTGCTTCCTGCCTCATCACCTCATCACCTCACAACACTTCCTCACTCGTACGATACAACCTCACATGATCAGCAAGGGAACAAACAGAGGTTTCAAATGGCCCAAATTAAAGATTTTTTTTTGCTACATAAGCAATCATGCATCAAGGGAGGAGAACAATACTTAAAGTAAATGCTATGGGGCCTGTTTAATTATGTCAAACCCTCTTTGTTGAAAAACCATAAATAAAAGAACAAGCTCATCATCTTGGGTTTACAAACTCTACTTAATTATTCACACGGCGTTAATTAGGCAATCGGCTGGCAATGTATTGAGCCCACCAGAGCCTATAAAATATGAATAGACAGCACGTGTCTGTATGTTGCACCTACATGTCTGCATTGCCTCCGTTTTAGGTCTTTGGTGGCATTTTTTATGAAGGAAGGCTTCATTTTCAAATGAAAATGGGCTCACTAGGCTTTACTCTACAAGTGTGACCACGGCCAAGACAGAGGATGAACATGCAAGCTAATATTTTTACATATGTTTATCCATCTATCCATTTTATACACTGTAAAAAAAAACGCTTTCTCCTCCACACAGATATAGGCATACACTGTTAAAAATTGATAAATCTTGCTAAAAACAGAAAATCTGCCAGCAAGGGCACCAGAAAAAGCACATTTAAAAAAATGGTGGAATACTGTAATGTTCAATAACTAAAAATAAAAAACAAACAAACAAAACAAACAAACTCTGTAAACATACATACAAACATCTGTAAAATAATTCTACTCTTAGTAGATTTAAATACCATAAAATTGTGTAACTTTACATTCACAACTTGTGAAAGAACAATTAATTTTTTGTAAAAATACAGATTTTTAATGTGGACAATTTTTACAGTTTTTACAGCCAGGTTTTTGGTCTTGGACAAAAGTGTGAGCTGATATTTTTACTTGTGTTTATCCATCGATCCATTTGTTACACTTCTTAAATGTTGATCTTATAGCTTGTTCTCCAGTTCTGATTGAGATTTTGCCTAGTTTTAATATTCTATACTACTATTTATTCTCTTTTACAAATTGATTGCTTTCTGCATTTATTTTGCTCATGCCTGGCTGTTAATATGTACGATACTTGGGTCAACTGTGGTTGTTTTTAAATGTGCTCTCTAAATAAAATGTATTTGATTTAGAAATTTTACAGATTTCGTAGTTAAATTACAAGATATCTAGTAAAATCAAAGAAAAAAGTATCCATTTACATGTTGATTGTAAAAAAAAAAAACAACAACAACAAATGGTAATTTTGTTCTTTCCAATGTGTGACAATTTTACTACATTTAAAAAATAAAAAAATCATTATACTTGATATTTGAATTTAGATACATATTTCACTACATTCTGTCTATTTGAATTAGCATACATTTAAAGGCTCCTTCTGAGGAGCTCCACTTCAGTAGCACTTACAAACACCAAACTTCCCAGTTTTATTCCTACTATGTTCTGAATGTTTTGGCAGATGGGTTTAAAAGAGATATCCAAAATCCCCTCTGTGAAAACCTGTGACTCCCAGATGTCAAGAAATGTTAAAAAAAATGGTGCTGATTTGATCTAATATTCAGATAATTGATGTAGAAATCAGCTAAAATAAGGGCTTTTAAAAAGATATATATATATATATATATAACATTGTTTAAACATATGTTAAAAAAACAGAAACAAAAACAAAAAACCTTGTAATACCGAAAATAATTGCCTTATTGTAAGTAACCTGATACTTATTTTTAAAAATGCTAAGCATTAAGCATAATGACAAAAGATAACTTCTCCATCTAAATAGCATTTCTGGACACTTTTCCTCGCTTCTACTTTTTTCCTATTTGTTAAAAAAGTCCAAGGGAAACTGCGGTTTTTTAGAAACATTTATGGCACCGCCTCTCCGCCATATTGGCTCAAATCCTACAAGCCTCAATGGGGAAGCCTGGCCAACGGCTCGGCGCCAAAATGGAGGACAGTGGAGCAGTTTCATAACCCCCGTGTAGGCGGAGCTTGGTTTTCTGGAAGCTCAGTGGAGCCGAGAGTCCGGGCATACGGGCGACAGAAAGGTAAACCAAGGGCTGGAAAGTGCTGCCGAGCCGCGGGGGAAAGAGCCGGCGAGAGACGCCGCTGAGTTTCAACACAAGAACCCGCCAGTGACCGGGGGGGAAGTCCGTGCGTTGGTGTGTGTAAATCTCCCCCGAAAACAAAGTGTCACCGGCGGCTGTTCGGGATGTGAAGAGCACCGTAACCCACCTGGAGCAGCGCCGTAACCCGAAGCCTGATGTACAGCACCGTCCGCCGGCTCCGTTCGGGCATTTCACCCGCCGTGAGCACTGCGTTCGTACCGGGTTGTTAGCGGAGCAGACACACGGGGACACACGGAGTAGTTTACTATAATGTTTGACAGCCAGTTCGCTTTTTGATACCGGGAAGCTTTTTGGAAAGGCGGGGCCGAACCGGTGGACACCCAAACTGGATTACCGAGCTCTCCGTGTGCCGATTCACCCACAGCGACGCAGCGCTTTTTGGGGGGGCGGGGGGTCGACGAAGGAGGCAACAACTGGGATTTAGCAACGTTTCTTTCCAACTCTTGCCCCGCTTGGTGCTCACGCTGGGTGCGAGCACTCATTCCTCTTAGTGGCCTCCGTTTCCCTCCTTCTTTTTCCATTCAGGAACATATAACCAGCTTTGGGACGCATATTTTTCTTTTTCTTTTTTTTGGAGGGGGATAATTTTCCCCCAGCCGGTTTCGGACTATGGCGGACGACGACATTCTCTTTGAAGATGTGTACGAGCTCTGCGAGGTCATCGGCAAGTAAGTGTTGCATTGTTGGCTTTTTATTTCTCTGGTTTATTTGCTCCTGGAGATCTGCCACTGACTCTCCGACACACAGAAAAGCGTGGTGGTATCCGTGCAGGAAAGTAATTCCATATACAGTGACCTTACAGCCCTCAGCAACAATATCATAATCTACAGAGACGCAGGCCTTTTCCCAAAACACTTCATTTCATTGCCTCTTTTATGATTGCATATGAACATAAAGCCAAGTTTTACTGCCTCATTCCAACGTGCAGATAAGCCTCCTGGTTGCTGTGCCACCATTTATCCTCCTCCTGCCCCTACATACATACACTACCTGGCATGATACTGTGTGCTTTGACCTAGTGGCAGTTGGCAACTTGCTGCAGAGATTAAAGGGCAGGGCGCAAACCCATCATGAGTCATGCACTCTTGCACATCTGGCCATCGTTAGTGACTGAGATCCTGGGCTACTTGGAGTAATATTTACTCTGAGATGCTAGATGATAGGCAGTGGGGGGTCTTTTATTTTTGAATGTGTTTTTGCACAGAGATGTCCCAACATTTCACCCAGGCTGCAGTTTTAAGGGACATGATACACATAGAAGCTACCAAGTGTGCACTGCATCCTCCAGACAGCTATAAAATACACTTATGTGCATTAAGAATTAGCACGTATTGGATTCATCCTGTGGTTTGACAGATGTTTTTCTACGCAAACAAGTCTAAATTCTCCGATTCCAGCTTCAAATATGTGAATATTTGCTAGTTTCTTTTCTCCTCTGTGACAGAGTACTGAATATATGTCATTGTTATTGTGCATGAAGAGGAAGTATTTGATTTATCCTGTGGTTTGACGCATGTTTTCAAGAAAGAAAAGTCAAAATTCTCCGGTTCCAGCTTCTAAAATGTGAATATTTTCTAGTTTCTTTGCTCCTCCTACATTGAAGCAAGTATTGGAAGAATCGGGTGGTTTAAGTGGTGTTTTATGAGGGTGAAAAAAAACAACAAATTCTCAAATTCCAGCTTCTTAAATGTGAATATTTTCTAGTTTCTTTTCTCCTCAGTGACAGCAAATACCTAAGTCGTGTGGTGTGAGAGAATTTTTCGAGAAAAAGTCTAGATTCTCAAATTCCAGCATCAAAAATGTGAATATCTTCTAGTTTCTTTTCTTCAGCGAGTGTTTGATTAATTGTGTGGTTTGAGTGATGTTTCTACAAGGAAAAAGAGTCTAAATTCTCCAATTCCGGCTTATAAATGTGACTATTTTCTAGTTTTTTTTCCTCCTCCTGCATTAAGAAATACCAAATATGAAATGAATTGTGATGTTTGGGTGACGTGAAGCAAACTGAATATCTGTCATTGTCTTTTTTCACGTCAGATGTTGCTTTCAAATATGTGAAAACGAGTTTAAAGTCTCCCCAAGGTGATAGTTTCCGCTTCTTAATGTGGCTTCGGATATACAGTGGTTGCTACAATTACCCGTCCTTCTGTAATCCTGTGTTAGATGTCAGGGCAGTAACAAAGCCAGGCATATCATTACCATTTATTCATATAATTATAATCCATTGCAACCAACTGGAATGTTGTGACAGTGTGCGAAAGTAGCTGCTGCTGCTACGATGATGACTAATAACCAGGACTAGTTACAAAACGAAAGCAGGATCAGCTGTATGTGTGCTTATCGTCTTTATACTCTTTGCTTTCTTGTGCTTAATGGCTACAGCAGCACTTGCACCACACCTGGGACTTTCCACCTTGATATAGCGGTGCTTCATAAACACACCGAGAAGAGGCAGTAAACGCTGAGGGGGGACTTTTGTTTTGATGTTCAGCTGAGACAGCTGAGTGAGTGGTGAGAATCTGTTTGCTCTGAATAACTGACTGTGTCATCCAAACTGCTGGTCTTGAATGAAGCACTTCATTGGGCGCACAAACAGAAGCTCCGTGTGAATCAGGAGCTTGGCAGGCCTGACAGACACAGTCAGTCAGTCATAGCAGGCTGACTGGTTATGGGACTTCTAGGGTGTCACAGAGATGGTTGACTGTCTGACAGGGTGATAAGACCTGCAACACACAGTACATGTTTAGGCAAGCCTGAAAACCGCGAGTGCTCTTTTTATCCCACACAGTCACAAGCAACTTCTCTCACTCAAACACTCACAAAGCTCAAAGAAATCCCTCACTTCTCCGTCCTCATGTTTAATGTAAAACATATATAATCACCATTTAAAATATGTCTGCAGCCAAGGTTCTGTTGAGACAGGAGGTCTGAGTTTTCTGAATTACAGCCTTTACTCATTGTATTCGACAGAGTGTCAGTGATTTACAGTTTGCAGAAGGAGAGAGCAGCCTTTTATCAGCCGACCTGCTGTTCTCTGCGTGGAGAGCTGCTGCAGCCACAGCTTCTTTTTGAGGCTTCACTGAAGCACCAATTGTAGGCTTGTGATCCTCAAAGAGACTCGGCTGACCGGAGGAAAACCCAAACAAATGACAACACCGCAGTCAGGAAAGGCATCAGTGTACAAGCCAGACATTCTGGATGTTGCACAGGCGTGAATGTGTAAATTCTGCAGGGTTGGATCCCTCTTACATACTCTGCAATCATGTGTTTTTTGGAAACTACTGTTGATAGACTTACAAGGATGCTGTAAAAAAACAACAACAAACAAACAAAAAAAAACATCCTTTGAATATCCAGTGGCAAAGGTGCCAGAAAAAATATGTTAAACTATAATGTTCACATAAACAATACTGAACAAAGCATAACCACAAATATATGTAAAATAATGACAGTTTTTAGTAGATTTGAACACAGTAAAAGAGTATAATTTTGCATTTATACATTGTAAAAGAGCACATTACTATTTGTAAAAATACAGGTTTTTGATGTGGAGTTTATTTACAGTTTTGGCCATTTTTATTATTTACTTTTTTTTTTGCAGGCAGCTAATAATCAGTTATTACTTTGTCATTTTACTAGATATTATCTGTAATTTAACACAACTTGAAAAATGTGTAAAATAGCTGTCAAAAATGTAGCTGCCTTTTTAAAATTAACATGCATATATATTTACTTTCAAATAATGCAAATATCTTTAAAATAATTATAGCCTTTTTTTGAAACAAGAAACAAACCAAAAAAAAAAAACAGAACCTGAAGATCTGGCAGCAAAGGTCCCAGAAAAAAATATGTTATAAAGTGGTGGACCACTGCAGTGTTTGAAAACTGTAAAAAATTGCACAAAATAATAGCAAATATTTGCAAAATTTATTCTGTGCAAGCATCCCAAGGCATGCAAGTCTGTGATTCCCTGGGCCACTTGTAGCACCTATCTTTGCCCACAGACCTCACCTGGTGGAGGCTGCAGCAGACAGGGACTGTGGTTCACGGTTGAACGCCGCCCACAGACCTGTGTCCACGTAACTGACGGACTTGACGTAGGGGTGTGTGGAGGCCGGTGAAGGGTAGCCGTTCAGGCCAGCTGGTGGCTTAGTCCTTGTCCCCCTCTGTGAACCTCCAGGTTTTACTTACTTTCTTTATTCACTGTGTATCAAAGTGTAATGTGTCTAAGTTTATTGATTTGTCATTTTAGTTGTAAGTCCTCATTAATATGGGGAACGACAAGACTTTTGTAGGACTCAGCTAACCGACTGCACCGCAAGTTTATTGTATCTGCACAACACTGAACTTCTGACAGCTTGGTTTCAACCTGCATCTCTGAGATGGCAACTAGAGAGAAATCTTCCACATCACATGTTAAACTATGAGATCATGTTTGGAAAACCCTCCTTGGTAACTGTGCTATTTTTCTTTTACAAGGTGAAAACTTCTAGCATCAATCATCCTGCCTGCTTTGTTTATTTTATGTGTATCAAGGAATTTGTACATTTATTTATTTGTGTCTGTTCAATAGAATCTTTAAATAAATCTAAACCAACCAGTACACCATCTTCTAAACTTGTACAATATATATTTTTTCCCACAATTTATGATTTTTAACTTTTTTTTTTTTGATAAATCATTGTGGATTGTCAATACAAAAAACAAAACAACTAAAAAAAAAAAGATAAGCGCAGAAAATAGTGTTCTATACATACAGTGCAATCAAGTATGAGATGCTCAGATGTGCACAGTCAGAAACACATATGCAGCTGTTCTTTTGACAGATCGTGAGAGGTTTTGTATGCTGTGTCAACATTAATATTATAACCTGTGTACATACACAAATGTTAAAGTACTTCAATTCAAAAGTCAACCTATTTTCTCCTGGTCTTTATTTAAAATAGGTCTTTAAAATGAAGGTCAGCTGAGATAAATCATTTTGTCGTGATTAAAATATTCAGCGAGACCCCTGCAGTGGCAGACACAAGTCTAAATATAGGTCATAAATTGTGCTTGGAAAGCAGTGTTGTGATCACTGCTCTGTATTTATGTAGGTGTGTTGGTCCTATGGAAAGCAGAAACCTCTTATGCACATGCATCGTTTGACTACATGTGGAGAGGATTTCGCCTTGCGCTCTTATTTTTAAAGCAGTGACCTCGGACAAAAGCCTGTCTGTCACCCACGCGAGCCTCAGTGTGTTGTGTACATCTGTCTTGTTGCTGTCAGATTGATCCCGCCTGCTGCGCTGCTGCGTCCTGAGGCACAAAAACAAGAGGATGGGGGGCGATGGTGGGAGAAAGTAAATAGAGATGTTTGGAGCGGAGTGGCTGTGGGATGGAGGCTGGAGATGGGATGAGTGAGGGAGCAGGAGAGGTCATGGGCTCAGTGGAAGGAAACAGTCCATTAGTTTGACTCACACATTAAGAGACATCCCGTGCCTTCAGGCCACGCTCTTTTCTAGTTCATCCTCGGAAAAAAAAAAAAGTTGTGCGTGTGTGCCTGTGTTTCTCACAGCAGGGGAGGTAACGCAGCACTATGCATAGGGAAACACACTGCAAGGAAGATGTTTGCTTTTGTTTTCATGATCCTTGCAGCTCTAAACCATACTGGAGTTAATACTTGGTGATA